GGATGGGTGGGTGGATGGATAGGTGGATGGGTGGATGGATAGGTGGATGGGTGGACAGATGGACAGACATGACATGTGGATGGAGAGGAAGGAGTAACAGTGTGCAGGTTCATGGAAAGAAAGAGAAAAGGAGGGAGGGGAGATAGGTGGACCAATGGCTATGAAAGGCTTTTTTGGAGGACTTGGGTGGATCCCAGGCTCCTGCATGTTCCCCTCTATCATCAATTTCTCCCAGAGTCAGAGCTACAGTAGGGATCGCCAGGATGCAGGCTGTGGTGGGTTCTTGTTAATGTTCTGTGTGTGTGTGTGTGTGTGTGTGTGTGTGTGTGTGTGTGTGTGTGTGTGTGTATGTGTGTGTGTGTCATTGAAACTGTCCCTGCTGCCTGTAAAATCAGTGGGGATCCCAAGGAGACTTCAAGGAGAGCGAGACTCTCCTGTCTGCCACCCACCCCCGACCTGTAGAGACAGATCTACCAGCTCCGCAGTGAGCCCCATTCTTCACATCTCCAACCCCGTCACCTCCCACTGTTCCCTCCCAGCCCTTGCCAAGGATATATCCTCCCGGGAGGAACAGGACTTTGGAATCAAAAGTCTTGCCTATAAACACTATCTCTGGCATGTATCAGCTGGATGACCTCGAACAAGCCTCTCAACCTCCCTGGTACTCAGTGTCTTTATCTGGTGCCCACGTCATAGAATTATCAAACAATATAAGTGAGTGATGTAACACTCTACACAGCCCATCATAAGTCCCTGCTCTGTCACATATTAGCTGGGGGAGGGGAGGAAACAGTTCCGTTTCCCTAAGCTTTCAAGTCTAGAGTTCTGGAATGAGGAAAGACTCACTTGGCATAATATGAGACGCTCTGTCCTCAGATGTGGCGTGCTCAGAACCGGTGGTTATACGACGGATTTAGATGGGACAATGACAAACTACTGCAACCTTAACCAAGAGAATTTGTTTCATATTTGCTAGGAGGGAAAAAAAAATCACATCATGCTAAAACATTTTCTCCCAGATGTTTCCTAGAGCAAAGCTAACTCCTCAGTGAGGTTGACAGAGGAAACGGGGCTTTTGAAGGGACTGTATCTTCAGTGAGCAAGTGTCCAGGTGGTGTGCGGGTAGAGCCAACCTGAGATGGCAGGCTAGGGGTGGCTTGCCCACTCTGTGAAAAGACCAGGGCAGGCACTGAGCAGCAGGCCTCTGCTGTGCCATTAGGCTGGCTGGGTGGGGGGAGCAGAAACCGCTACAAGGACCGTCTCTGGGGCCACTGCACATCTGAACACAGAGAGAGTGGGCGTGGATGTTAACTGCTCAAACAGGACACTGCGTGTGTGACAAAGCAGCTCTGTCCTCAGGAGACACACCTGAGGGAGCCAGAGGTCAAGGGTCATGACATGCATATATCTTACCCTCACATCGCTCAGAAAAAAGCGTGGCGGTGGGGGCCAGATGGAAGTAATTGGGGAACCTGGGCAGAAAGGTATTTTCCATTTTTATTTTTGTAACTTCTGTAATTCATGGTCATTTCCAAATGGAAGCGGAAGCAGAGTGCAGGAGTCGTCCACACTGCAGCCCCGTGCCTGGCCGTGGAACGCGCTTGACCTCTGGCTCTCCCTTTCTCTCCTATCCAGTGTGGAGACGGTGAACGATGGTCAGTTTCACAGTGTGGAGCTGGTGATGCTAAACCAGACCTTGAACCTGGTGGTAGACAAAGGAGCTCCCAAGAGCCTGGGGAAGCTCCAGAAGCAGCCGGCAGTGGGCATCAACAGCCCCCTCTATCTTGGAGGTAACACCACCACCCCCCCATCATTACCCCGCCCCTTCCACCTTTCTGGCTTTCTGCTTCTGCACTGACACCCAGACCTGATGCCAGGGGTCTCCCTGATGTCTTCTTGGCACCCGCTGCCCAAGTCAGTCAGGGGAGACTTCCTGGAGGAGGTGATCACAAAACCGGTTGCTGAAAGGATGGCCAGGCACTAACCCAGCCATGGGGAACAGACTCTGGACAGATGTTTATAAAGGAAAAAGGGTGGGCCTCTGTGGGAATAGCAGGTGTGCGGGGAGGGGAGGAGAGCTAAGGAGGAGCAGGTGGAAGGGTGCCCAGGCTCTGCTGCAGTTTGCCAGCTTCGGGCCAGTACCTCTGCCCTACCACCTCTTGGACATGACAAGAAGGGCCACACTGAGGTCAAGATTGTACAAAGGCCAAAATGGCGAACCACCGCCACCAGCCGCCTAGACCAGAAATGAAGCCCCTAGGCTGGTGGGTCTTGAAGAATTATATATGTAGAAAAGAAAAACTAACATCAGAGCAGGGGGTTCGGATTGGGACTCAGTGATAGAGTGCTTCCCTAGTTTGAGCAAGCGACACCCTGGGTTGTACCCCCAGAGACGCATGTATTCATGCAGCTACCAAGGAGTTTGTTCAAATGCAGACTCCTAAGGTTTCAGCCCAGATGTCCCTTGCCGAGGGCTGGCACGCACCCAGGAACTTGCACTTAGAACAGGCCACCCAGATGCAGGGGACACAGAGTGCTCCTGGTCCAGACTCACCTCAGGACACAGATTCTCCACAAGGAAGAGTGTCGCTTCCCTCCCCTGCACCTGCTCCGCTGTGGCCACAACAAAACTGGGCAGCCAACATGGGGTCTGGATAGGAATTAGCATGGAAGGAGGAGAGTAAGAGCTTTGTTTTATTTTATTCTTGAGACAGGGTCTCATGTAGCCCAGGCTGGCCTCAGACTTCATCTGTAGCCAAGGATAACCTTGAACTTCTAATACTCCCACCTCTACCTACTGAGTGCTGGGATGGCAGGAAGTGCCGCCATGCCCAGTGTGCCCAGTGCTGGGGATCGAACCCGGGGCTGTGTGTATGCTAAGCGTTCACACAGTTAAGCCATGGGCCCAACAGTAAGAGAAGAGAGAAATCACAGACCAGATGCCACTGAAAACAAAGTCAGGCCTTTACCAGTAGTCTGCTGAAGGCCCCGAGAGAGACGTCAGCACAGCACAAAGGATAGCAAATAGCCTGGAAACCTTGAACCCCAGACTTCCACTGATGCAAGCTGCCCCCACCCCCAACCACATCTTCTCTCCCAGAATGCAGCTCCTTTACTGCGGGTTTTTAAACGGGAACTAGAGCGAGGGCACCTCAACCTGGTGGGGCAGCAGAGTGGTCTGGTGTTCCTCCACCCAGGCCATACATAAGGGTGGGTGTAGCCGGAGTTTTCACCAGTCCTGCCTGGCCCACGGTCAGGACAAATCTCTCTCACCCGCCAGGCCTGCAGCCGCTCAGACCCAACCGAGTAAACACACAGAGACTGATATTGCTTACAAACTGTATGGCTGTGGCAGGCTTCTTGCTATCTAGTTCTTCTATCTTAAATTAACCCATTTCTAGTAATCTATACCTTGCCACATGGCTCATAGCTTACCAGTACTTTACATCCTGCTCCTCATCATGGCAGCTGGCAGCGTCTCCCTCACTCCGCCTTCCTGTTCCCCCAATTCTCCTCTCTGCTAGTCCCGCCTATACTTCCTGCCTGGCTACTGGCCAATCGGTGTTTTATTTATCAATCAATCATAGCAACATATATTTACAGCATACAGGACATCCCACAGCAGGTGGCCTCGGTTAAGCCGATGGGACTGTGTGGCAATAGATGACTGGTCCTCTCATTTCTCCTTTGAAAGTGCAAAATACAGACTTCTGTAGGATTTTTTTTTTTTCTGAAATTAAATACTGGTTAGTTGAGTTTTAACAGCACTAGAGCACCTACTCTTCCCTGTGAGGAGAAGACCTGGTCTCTGACCCGTTAGCTCAGTTTGAACAACAGAGGCCCAGAGCTCTGAATGGTAACTGTAAGCATGTGCTGTGTGTGTTCTCACTTTCAAGGCTAAGGGGGTGAGGGGTGGGGCAAGGGAGTATCTTCAGGCTGTCCTGGTTTCCTCCCACAGGCATCCCCACCTCCACGGGCCTCTCAGCCTTACGCCAGGGTGCAGACAGGCCGCTGGGCGGCTTCCACGGCTGTATCCACGAGGTACGCATCAACAACGAACTGCAGGATTTCAAGGCCCTCCCACCTCAGTCCCTGGGGGTCTCTCCTGGCTGCAAGTCCTGCACTGTGTGCCGGCATGGCCTGTGCCGCGCTGTGGAGAAGGACAATGTCGTGTGTGAGTGCCACCCAGGATGGACCGGTCCACTGTGTGATCAGGAAGCCCGTGACCCCTGCCTTGGTCACAGGTGAGTGTCCTAAGAGCACTAGGCTCTGAGTTTACAAGTTGCCCTGCCCCACATCTAAGGAATGGGCACTGATGGATACTGGGGGAATTGTGGGCCTACTGTGGGTGGCACACTGCTTAAAATGCCACAAGCAGGGAGGCTCCTTCATCCAAGCAGCAGGCCTGGATTGAAAGCATTAGCGTAAGGGGGGCTTTCTCTGCCAGGCAGCCCTTAGGACCTGTGAAGGCCACTGTAGGATTCGGCACTGCCTCTGTGTGGCCAAAAGAGCCTCTCTTGAGAGAGGAATTCCAATGTCTACATAGCAGTGCACATCTGAATCACATTTAATGGTTCAGTCATTCATTTTTCATTCAACACGGGCCTACTGTGTGCAGGGCCTTATACTCGATGCAAGAGAGCCAGTATTCCTAGAAACTGTGATTGGCAAGATAGAATACTAGACTCAAGAGTGGTAATCTGGCTGGCTGAACAAGTAGGGAAATAATAGTCTTGATCAAGAAGGAAGGAGCGAGCCAGGCAGTGGTGGCGCACGCCTTTAATCCCAGCACTCGGGAGGCAGAGGCAGGTGGATCTCTGTGAGTTCAAGGCCAGCCTGGGCTACAGAGTGAGTTCCAGACCAACCCAAGCTGCACAATGAGACCCTGTTTTAAAAAAACACAATAATTATTTTTAGTCATGACAGAAAGCTTCAAGTCTGTTGGGCTGTGGATTGACACTGAAGACTGATGTCTTGATAGGAAACAGCCAGGAGACTGGCCTCGTCTGGTCAGAGCTGGCAGTGGATATTCGCTGGGGCACGTGGGCTTCCAGCTATGTGGGGTTGGCGTGAGGTGCTTAGATGCTTAGAAGGAGGACCATACCCAACACAAGGTCCCGGAGCTCTGGGTCCTCGGCCTGGAAGGACAGAGGAAGCCGCTGGCAACACTAACTCTGGTCTCCTCTCCCCCCTGCCCCCAGCTGCAGCCATGGGAAATGTGTGGCGATGGGCAGCACATACATGTGCAAGTGTGCAGAGGGCTATGGAGGAGCCTTGTGTGACCACAAGAATGACTCTGCCAGCGCCTGCTCAGCCTTCAAGTGCCACCATGGGCAATGCCACATCTCAGATCAAGGGGAGCCCTACTGCCTGTGCCAGCCTGGCTTCAGTGGCAATCACTGTGAGCAAGGTGAGTCTACTGTCCTTGTGGGATGAAGGGCCTATGAAAGAAACGGGTCAAAACCGCTGATTCCCTCCCCCCCCCAGCGAACCATCTGATAGCAAGGAGGGAGCCATGCATGGTGTCTTAAGTGACCTGGCCAGAGAAGTAACTTGTTCCACCATTTCCAGACTATTCTATCACTTACCTTGCTAAGGTACATCACTAAAGAAGGCTACTACATAGAGGATGTAGCAGGTGATGGGGTCGTTATGGGCACTGGCTTGCTGTCATGCTACCTTGCAGGGTTTCTCAGATGAATATATGCCATGTAGAGTATGTAGTACCTAAGAATATGCTAAGAGTTGGGGAGCTGAAATGTATGACCTAACTTTGTGAAAAATCTAGGTTGGGATTTTTTTTTTGAGAGTTTTTTTTATTTTTTTTCCTCTGTGTGTGTGTGTGTGTGTGTGTGTGTGTGTGTGTGAGAGAGAGAGAGAGAGAGAGAGAGAGAGAGAGAGAGAGAGAGAGAGAGAGAACGAGAACATGAATGTATGCCATGTGAGTGCAGTGCCCATGGAGGCCAGAAGAGGGCATCAGATCCCCTGGAACTGGAGTTACAGGTGGTTATGAGCTATCTGGGTGCTAGAAACGGAACTCAAGTTCTCAGGTCCTCTAGAAGAGCTGTAAGCACTCTGAACTGCTGAACCATCTTTATGGCCCCAAGTTAGTACTCTTAAAGGTCAGAAGCAACACTGTTGTCATGAACAGAAAAATCTGTGTCCTTGAGCAAGACAGTTCTCTCTGGGTCGTAATTCCCCATCCAAAATAACTGCACTGGTTTATTGTAAATACTAAGTAATATTATGGTGGATGAGAATTCAACATTAAGATTCTTGAGTGACAGCCGGGCAGCGGTGGCACACTCCTTTAATCCCAGCACTTGGGAGGCAGAGCCAGGAGGATCTCTGTAAGTTGGAGGCCAGCTTGGTCTACAGAGTGAGTTCCAGGACAGGCACCAAAGCTACGCATAGAAACCCTGTCTCAAAAAAAAAAAAAAATTCTTGAGTGACATTCCTGAAGAGGCTAACAAGCCATCTAGAGTGCCCAGCACAAGCAAAATGGCCCAACAAGAAACAGCAGCGTTTTTACTATACTGTCTAATGGAGAATGCTTGAGTACAGCAAGGGTGAGGAGGCCCTGTGGGCTACAGAACCCCAAGATGGCAGCATGCAGAGGGAGGGGAGCACCCTCCTGCTACCCCACCTCCTTGATTGGCACTGACTCAGAGCTAAGAGAGAGTTTCTCTTTATAGGCAGAGGTAGGCAGTAGGCTCTTGGCACACCACAGAAACCTGGGCTGGACGTCTATAATATTGGCTGCTGGATGGTCCTGCATCCTCTCTGGCTAGGAGCCCAGTTGACGAACTGTCTAGAGTTTACATGGCTGTACTGCTTCAGAGGGGCCCGTACCCTGACCTTCACCCTGCCGTGACCCAAGCTTCTAGTGCAAGCCCCCCAGAGCTGCTGCTGCTGCTGCTACTGCAGTGTGTCCCCCTCCAGGGGCAGCAGATGCCACACCTGCCCATGCCAAGGCTTCACCAACACTCCACCACACTCACTTGGATGGCTGCAGTTCCACACCAGCTCCTTGAGCCCTGACCCAGCAGACTAGCCCATAGCCCATGCCACACCGTGCCCGCCGGGGACCAACAGGAAGCTGAGCGTGATCAGCAGTTGGGTCTCTAAAAGATCAACAAAATGGACAAATCTTTAGGTAGGCTATGAAAGGCAGAGAGAGGATTCAAAATCCGAGATGACAAAAGAGACATTATGAGAAACTGAATCAGTAATAAGCCTTTCGTCGTCAGGACTGGAGAGATGGCTGAGCAGTTAAGAGCACTTCCTGCTCTTCCAGAGGACCCAAGTGTGATTCCTCGCACCCACATCCACCTGAGGCTCACACAACTACCTGTAACTCCAGCTACAGGAAATCTGATGGCCACTTATGGCCTCTGTGTATGCGGGCAAGCATACACATGGCATAACACACATATTCATAAATAAAAGATTTTTATCTTTAAAAAAATCTTCCATCATTAAATGAAAGGGTGCTTAAGTCCTGTAAGTCCTAAACTTGAGAGGAAGGGGACCAGAAATCCAAGCTCATCCAGAGACCAGCCTGAGCTGTGTGAGACCTCATTCAGACACACACACACACACACACACACACACACACACACACACACACACAGAGAGAGAGACAGAGAGACAGAGAGACAGAGAGACAGAGACAGAGAGGGGGAGGGGAAGGGGTGGAAGAGGGAGGGGAAGGAAGGGGGAAAGTCTTCAGTCCAAATTCCAGGACCTCATGAGTTCACTAATGCTTTCTACCGTACATTTAAAGAGGCATGATACAAATCCTCCCAAACCAGTTCAGGAAACTGGAGAGCTCCAACTCGTTCTCCAAAACCAGCATTGCCCTCACACCTGGACAGAGGAATGCATGGGAGAGCAAAGAGGGGGAGAGAAGGGAAGGAGGCGGGGAGTGGGGAAACAGCAGGAGTCAAGGTCCCTGACGACCACAGAAGCGAGAGCCCTTGCTTGGCACTGTCCCTTGGGGGCTTTTCTTCCACATCCAGGCCGCACCCTGTCACTCGGGGACTCTTAGATTTCCCGTCTGCATGAAACGCCGTTAACTAAGCCTGTTCATGTTTTAAATCTGAACTAATTTTAGACTCAGCCATGTCAGGGTGGCATAAGCACCTCTCCTGTTCCCTTCATCCCAACTGTTAATGTTGCCATGCGTGTGCCCCTACATGACACACACATGCACACCCACACACCCATCATCACTCTACTCTTTCCGAATCCTTTTAAAGCCCTTTTAAATTTTAAAGGATTTTTGCAGGTGAATTCAGCGCCTGTGCATCACATTGAAATACAAAACCTTTTAAAAAGCTCTGATGCATTTTCTTCTTCAGTCGCCTCTGCTGCTCACAAAAGGGTGTGGATCACTGAGGAGAATGGGTATATGTGTCATGATTTTCCAGGCAGGGAAACTGAGGCACAGGATAACAAGTGATTTGCCATGACCGTGAGGCTGCAGAGTCTGTTCTCCTTTCCCAGCGCCTCCTCCAAATGTCCTGTCCGTGTGGGGAGGAAGTAGGGGCTGGAGGCGAAGAGCAGGGTCAGAGGTGAACATTCCAGCACACACAGGGGTCCTCTTTACTGCTCCCCTGTGGTTTCCAGGACTTCCAGAAACATCCTGAAGGGCCTTTACCTCCTGAGCATCTTTTCCAGATCTCATCTCCTGGTCACTTCCCCAGAAGCCTCCTGGCCCCTGGACCAGGTCAACTTACTTCCCTGTGCTCTTGTGGAAACATGCCCCTTAACAGCTTCTGTCTGCCTCGGTTTCTCATTACAAGCAGATTGACTTCAGTGTTGGTAGAATTGGTGTCCAGGCTCTAGACCGAGGGAGACAGACTACTGGGAGTGATAGGGCCAGCCTGGGACCAACTGGAGCTCCACTGCCCCGTCAAAGCCCTGAGCACCCTGCCCACCATGGCAACATGGGGAAGCAAGCTCAGCTCCACAGACCTCCCAGTTTCAAAGAAGCCAGAAATCCAAAGTCTCAAGTGAATTCAGATGTCTCCAATGTTAGGATTTGAGCATCTGTCTGGTAACAGGTTTTAGCCACTGTTTACCAGTTGCTGGCCCTTTGGAGGATGGAAAAGGCCAAGGCCACTCCTGCCGCCAGAATATCCAAGGGGCATGATTGTCCTTGAGTAGAGCCTGGCATAGTAAAAGCACACCACATTTGGGGAGGGAGGGAGGAAGGGTAGATAAGTAGGCAGATGAGGAACTAGTAAATAAGTATGTGTATCTTCAGGTCACAAGTGTCCCCTGGTAGCCAACCAGGGAACCACCCACCCAATGATCATGCCACACCCCTTCCCCACCAACGCCCCTAACATTACCTCTCTGCCCTCTTCAGAGAATCCATGTTTGGGGGAGATAGTCCGCGAAGCCATCCGCCGTCAGAAAGATTATGCCTCCTGTGCCACGGCCTCCAAGGTGCCCATCATGGAGTGCCGTGGGGGCTGCGGGAGCCAGTGCTGCCAGCCCATCCGCAGCAAGCGGCGGAAATACGTCTTCCAGTGCACGGACGGCTCCTCGTTCGTGGAGGAGGTGGAGAGACACTTGGAATGTGGCTGCCGCGCATGTTCCTGAGCCCCCTCTGCCACCTCCCCAACCACCCGCCACCTCTCAGACTCCAGCTCGCCGGGCTGGGGACAGCCACACGGAACCTCTTTGAGATTCAGAATGAAGGAGAGAAAGCTGGAGAGGAAGAGGCAAAAGAGAGAATATTAAGTATATTGTAAAATAAACAAAAAATAGAACTTATTTTTATTATGGAAAGTGACTATTTTCATCTTTTATTATATAAATATATCACACGGTCTGAGTATATGTACTATACAGTGTGTTATTTTTACCGAGTTTTGTTTTGTGTTGTGTATTTGTTGTGTTTTTATAAACAACTGTTTAAAATTTTAAGACAAAATAAGACTAATAAAAAATGTTTTAAACAAAAGGGTAAGAATAGAGAAACGATAGCCTGTCTGAGGCAAGAAGAGGGAATTTTGTGTGTATGCAGCTCTTTCGAGTCAGCAAAACTGAGAGCTATTTCCTGAGCTGGGGGAAGGGAGAGAGAAGGGGAAATGTTCTTTGTTTCTCTGTGGTCTTTACCCCTCTTTTTCCCTCTTCCTGGCAAGTAGCGAGCTTCTCACAGTTCTGGCTGTCTAAGCCCAATGTGCTTCTTGCTTCCAAAAAGCTGCTGGGCCCCAAAAGCCTTGTGACAGTCAGAGCTGCCCCTTGCCCACCATCTGACCCAGGCCCCTGCTGGGCGTGAGCCCATGGGGAGGCCTGCCTTCTTGGCCAGCCCTGGTCTCCTTGAGGGAGTTGACGCTGGTTTTGCTGAGCAAGCCGGGTCTGTTCTGCCAAATTTGCAAACAGCTGCTCTTTTCCTGCCCCTCCCCAGGAAGCATGTCCTCTTGAGATGGGACAGGGAAAGAGCGAGCTACAACATCTCCCCGGGCACTGGCCGTCCCTTACAAGTCTTCCTTCCAGCCAGTTTTACTGGAGTACAATACCAGAGAGCAGGCACCAGGACTACCCAAGAACAGGACAGGGAGTCATGTCTTCATGGATGCCCAACAGGCAGGCCTCTGGCATCTGGCCCTCCAAGCAACCTTCTCACTGGCTAAGAACAACACTGTCCAGCACATATCTGGAAACCCACTTTATTCAACCCCTACTTGTCTGGTGCAGTGAACCCCATTTCTTAACTGAAGACACCTAGCCCCTCTCAGCCTCCATCACTTGCCTTATGCCATCCTCTGATAAGTGGGGGAACCTGGCCTGGAGCACAGACTCAACTAGATTCCCCTCTAGAATGAGTGGACACCGGAGACAGGCAGCAAAAAGACCTGTCAACAAAAAGAAAGCAGATGTTTTTCCAGCTGCCTTTTCTCTTTGCTCTGTTTTTGTTCAAGTCTCCCTTCTGCCTCATTCGTATCTAGGAAGTTTCTAGAGACAGGGACTCAGACAATAATAGCAAGCACTGTAGTCCAGCTTCAGAATGTTCTGGAAGGGCATTTTGATCTCCCACATCTTTCCCCCACCCTCATTCCCTCCCTCACAGCCCTCCTCATTTAGCCCATGTGACCAGCATCTCCGCTGCTCACACCAACCCCCTGGCTCTGCTCATCCATCCTTTCCCAAGAGCCTCCGATGCTGTAGTCTCGAGGAGAGTGTGGGGACCTTCCTGTTCTGAGGGTCCCCTGAGGAGCTCAGCTACTCTGTGAGGACTGATGGTAGGCCAAAAACTCTAAAGAAGGGAGAGAGAAAAGAGGAAGTAGAGGAACACAAGGCAAGTGGAAGACTGGGAAAGAGAGTGAAGGAATGTGCTAGAGAAACCACTTTTGAACAAGCATATGAGTGTGCATTGTGTTCCAGGGAGTGTACGTCATGATGGGTGTGTTGAAAATGTTCATAGTTAGATTTAGGCAGTTCTCACTACAATACATTCAGATGTCACTGCAGTTGTGGCCCATGTATTTATTTATTTATATGCATGTATCCATTTAATTCTCAGACAGCTCTATGTAAAACCATTACTAACCTACTTTATAATATAGTAAGCTGAGATGGAGAAACTAAGGATCTTACCTAAAAGGAGATTCCTAAAAAAGTTATAGGAGCAAAGGTTTGAGCCCAGGTTGTCAGAATCCAGAATTTGCTCACTTAACCACTATACCACACTACTTCTTTTAGGAAGGAAACACACTGTGCCTTTAAGGATCCTACAGTCTGGAGCCATGAATGGTGACTAAATGGACAGCTGCTTGGTTGTACGACACTGATTTTGGCCAAAAGGTCAAAAAGCAGTAATTGCTTGAGATATATAGGTGAGGAGTTGAGCAGTACAGGAAATGACCCACTAAAAAACGGTAAAATGGGAAAAATCCTGGAATGTTTGGTGAGCAGCCAGAGCCCATTGGTGGCAGCAAAGTGGAATGACCCTGTAGGGCCACAAGAAATGGGAAATGTGAAGGCAGCCACACACACACACACACACACACACACACACACACACACACACACACACACACAAGCCACATGGCTAGGCCCCAGAGAGCCAGAGACTTGGTGTGATCAGACCAGTAGCAGGATAGGATAAAATGGGGAGCCAGAGACGTGTGTGTGTGGATGGGAAAGCAGACTTTATCCCTCAGAATGGCCTCGGGGCTCCTAGTAGTTCACTTTGTGGTTGGCACACACTAATCTCAAAGTCTCCGTGATCGCTCAGGAATTCAGTTCTGGGAGAGGTGTCCTGGGATGTGCCCAGTGTCCCCTTCCACCCCTCCTGTCCCTCCAGCCAACTCATCCCCAACAAATGGGCCTGATCCTTATTCCATCCCCAACCCCCCTAGCGCTGGGAGGAGATGCTGGGCTGTAAGCTTTCTCTCTCTGGCCACAAGGACCTCGGCACGTCCCTCTTCCATTCAGCCTGTGTTCATCTCTGAATCCAGCTGCAGTCAGCCAAGGACAGGAAGGGCCAGGTTCTGTTTCCACCAAGTATGGCTTCAGAGCCTTCTCAGCTTTGAAAGACCTGACTTTACAAGGTGCCAATCACCAAGACCATCAGGAAAATCATCCCCCAAATGAAGTTTCTCTAAAACGGAAATTTAGAAACTTTGTCCTTGAGAGTAGCCAGGTTCTAGGACCAGGAAAACTCCATGCACAGGAAGAGGTCAATCCATTCACACTCTGAAAAGTATGGTTTAATGTCTGTGTGGGGATGTACACATGTAGAAGAGTCCGTCTGCTCTGTTACCCCCTAAGCAGGGTCAGGAGATAGAAGATCCCTTTTGGATTCACCAAAGAGGGCAGGGGCTCCAGATGGTTAATAAAATGCTACACCTAAAAGCTCTGTAAAGTACTGAGCAAAGCCCTAAAATGTAAGATGTTGTTAATACTGTTGTCAATGATGTTACTGACATGCCAAACAGCCTTTTTTTTTTTTTTTTTTAAAGAAAACTTTGCCTTTTCCATCTCATTGCAAGGAGTCTGAGGCTTCAGAAAATGAAATGGGGGAGGGGAAGAAGATTTCCCAGGGTCAGCAAAAGAGGAGAAAGGCTCAAGGGGATCCTCAGGAGCCCGGGAATGACTGGACTGGGACTGAGTCAGCCTTGCATTCCTCAGCCAAGCAGCCACCCATTGTCTCTGCTTGGAGCAGGGACCCTTAGCAGCAGATGAGATACCCTTCAAAGAGTCACAGGACCCCAGGTAGCAGAGTTGGAGGGACCCTTGGGGTCGCTGTGGGTCAGAAAACAAGGATTAGAGAAACCAAGTGGTAGCTACCACAAATCAAAGTTGTGTGGGTGATTCATGCCTAAAGGCAGCGAGGGCTCCAAGGGGTCCATACGGCCAGTTCCTCTTGCTATTCCACAATGGGCATCCAGGCAGAGCAAAGCCTGAGACTGAACGCATGAACAGAAGTATGACCTCTATCTTCCCACAGCCATCTCCCCGGGTACTCGTAGATGCCTGGGAAGCTGGCACCATGGTCAGCTTTAGAGTCACCCATATTGTCAACCGGGAACATAAATAGCACCATAGGAACCCCTGGGACAAAGCTAATCAGAGATGGGAGCCAGTGGGACCAATTAAGGCAGAATTGGCACTTGGCAAAGCTTATTTCACTAATTCAATGGATTCTAATAAGGAAAATGTTTTTTTAAAAAAAGTAACAGTGTTTCAATGCCACTTCCTCGGTATGGAATAAATAATGTGCACTTCTTGCTTCAACATTCTGCCATCTTCTGATGTCATTTAAATAAATAGATGTGTCACAGGGAGTCCACGGTGCTCTTGTGAATGCATAACTCAGCCTTGCTCTGGACTGTGTGCTTTATTTCTGCCCCTGACTTTTATACCCTACAGGGCAGAGTACTACATTCTGGGGTCTGGGTAAATCTGTGTGGAATCAGTTGAAAGAAACTGATTTCCTTCGACCATTAAGTAAGGAAAATGCATCCAGAATTCCCATATACATTCCCTAAAGCCTACACATTTGGCTTAGGCTCCAGGGTCTATCTGAGATGTGGTTTGAATAGGGTTCAGCCACAGACTGGATGCCGAGGTTTAAGGTGAAGGAAAGCCTCTCACATTCGGAATAGAGAATACACATAAATGGAAGATGAGCCCTCCAGGGCCTGTTTTCTTCCCTTCTGTGTGTTCTTTTCATTTGTGTATTTTGTTGGTTTGTTTGTTTGTTTGTTTGTTTGTAGATAGGGTTTCTCTTTGTAGCCCTGGCTGTTCTGGAACTCACTGTGTAAACCAGGCTGACTTTGAACTCACAGAGATCCTCCTGCCTCTGCCTCCTGAGTTCTGGGAGCGCAGGTGCCACCACCGCCCGCCTCCTCTATTCCTTCTTTCATTTACAAGCATAGATTACATGTCAGGTACCGCTGCAAGCGATGAAGATTCCGAAGATAAGGAAGAGCAAGTCCTATTCTGGAGTTTAAGTGTGAATTGACAGGGTGAGTTGTGTGCCAATCAACACCTAGAGCTACTGATAACAGACATCCTCCACTACAGGAAAGAAATGTGGCAGAATGACCGGTGGTTGCTTTACCCAGAGAGAGCAAGGTGGGCCTCCATGAAGAACTGAAAAGCAGGATCCCCCAGAGAGAGCAAGGTGGGCCTCCATCAAGAACTGAAAAGCAGGATCCCCCAGAGATGAAAAGATAAGGGGGGTGACAGTGCCTCTTGCCAGTCACCTTCTTTCCTGTGGGTGTTTTCATGGGCAGGGATGACCCAAGCATCTCACAGGCCAGAGAAGATGAGACAAGGAAGACCACCCGCCCTGGGCACACTTGAGAAGCTATGGACTCACCCAATGGGGACTGCTGTGCGTATGGAGGCTGCCAGAGGCTAGCTGAATCTTACATCCTTGGCGAAAGGTCCTCTACCACCCTCGTTGAGATGCCATCAAGAATAAGACACAGGTAGCAGCATATGTCCAAGTGCTATGACCAAGAAGAGCAGGCTAATCAGAACCATCTCTGAATAACTAGATGGAATTATTTACCAAAGAAGAAGGGGGTGGAACACAGAATAGCACTCAAGAGACCTTCTTAGAATGCCTTAATGGGAACACATGGCAGCTGGTGTTCTATACTTGGGTTTGGAACACCATTATCAATGGGAAGTTGGGACAAGGGCATTCTGGTGATGGGGGGACACCCCCATCCTGCTGTCATCTTTGGTCCCTACTTTATAACCAGTCCAAATGGATACAGAACAAGAGAGTCGAGATTTAGTATCTCTAGGTGGCATCTGAAATATGGTGGAGAAGGTAACAGTCAACTCCAGACCTGTTCATCAATGCTGCCCAAGGTCTGGCTCCCAGAGTGACACTATTGTGTTTGGTACTTTCTCGCTGGTGTGGCATTTTATTTTGGTGGGTTTAAGGAGTTACAGCTCATCATGGAGAGAAAGGAGCAGCTGATGACAGCAGCAGGGGGAGTATGGGGCTGCTTGCTAACATCTGGACAGATCAAGAAACAAAGAGAGACAAATGCTGGCACTCAGCAGGCTCTCCTCCTAGTCTTTTATTCAGTTAGAGTTTATAGACCATGGGATGCTACCTCACACCTTAGGACAAGTCTTTACTCTGTCAAATTTCTCTGGAGATACTCTCACACACATGCCCAGAGGTGTGTCCTCTAGCTGATTCTTATCACAGTGAAGATTAACCAAGAACATACAGGTGTGAAAGGAAGGTCCCTTCGACAAACTGCTGGGGAAACTGGATATGCACAGGTACCTGTTTCTTACCAGCTACCAAAATGAACTAAAGGATCAATGAGCTGAGTGTAAGACCTAGATCTATTCAACCACCAGAACATAGAGGAAATGCTTTAGGACATGGATGTGGACAAAGACGATTTTGAGAGCTTAGGCATCACAAGGAAACAGACAAATGGGGCTGCAGAACTTCTACAAAGCAAAGGAAAAGGTCCACAGAGTCAAGAGTGACCCACAGCCAATGGAAATACATGTGTGGTAAGAAGTTGACAACTAGAATATATGAGGAAAAGAAAGGGACCTAAGAGAAAGAAAGAACCTGATTTAATCATGGGGCAAAAGACCTGAATGGACTTTTCTAAAAAGATACACAAACAATCCAAAGCCTTGTGAGAGAATGCTCCAAAGTGCTGAGAGAAATGCAATTCAAAACCACAATGGTGTATGGCTTACTTCAGCAAGAATGGTTGTCACAAACATGACAGGTAGCAAGGGCTGGCAAGGCTGCAGAGGAAAGGGAGCCCACACACACTACTAGGGAAGATGGAAATTAGTACTGTTCTTGTGGGAAACAGAGTGGTGTCCCTCAGAAAGGTAAAAAGGCTACTGCTGTATGAGCCAGCATCCTTTTTGTCTTGTTTTGTTTTGTTTGAAGACAGGGTTTCTCACTGTCCTGGAACTCACTCTGTAGACAGGGCTGGCCTCGAATTCAGATGTCCACCTGACTCTGCCTCCTGAGTACTGGGATTAAAGACATGGGCCACCACCCCCTGGTTGATCCAGCATTCTTACTACTGAGTATTTATTTACATGCTGAAAAGCTACCTGGATGTTCAGATTTATTGCTGCACTGTTCACAACAGCCAAGACTCAAACCTAGATGTCTATCAATAGATAAAATTACTTTAAAAACATGGTACATATCCATAAAAGTGGAATACTATTGGTTGGTTCATATGAAGTGTGGGAGGCCAGCTGGGAGACTGGCTCCCACATTTTACCTCAGGGTACTCTTGGGGAGTGAGGGATAAGAGATTTAGATAGAAGGGTAGAGGGGAGAGAAACAGAAACACAGAATAGCCTTGAGAGAGCCCAGATCCTTATCCACCAGACCATTCTGTCTCTTCTAAAGGGCTATATATAGGAATGCCAACGGGTGGAGCAAAAGATCTCCCCCTACCTCAGCCAAGTGCAGACCCTTTCCAATCACCTGGTAACTACACATGTGGTCAAGCAATCCCCTAATGCAGCCCTGCTGTGGAAAGCAAGCCCAGATTTCACTAGGAAACCTTTGTGGGCCTCCACAATAAAGGATGGAATTTGGGGCAGGATAGTTCAGTGGTTAAGAGCATTTCTTGCTTTTGTAGAGGACCTGGGTTCAATCCCAACACCCACATTAAATAGCTCATAACTGTCTGTTACTCCAGTCCTAGGAGATCCAACACCCCTTACTGGCATTGCAGGACTGCACTTTGATGCACAGACATTCTTACAGGTAAAATGCCCATGTTCATAAATAAAATAAAATGAAAATAAAAAGATGAATTCTGACATCTGCAGCATGATACACCTGGAGATCACTGTGCTACATAAAATAAGATGCAGTAAGATAAGTACTGCGTGGTCTCACTCATGTGGAATCTAATGGAAGTCTCTTAGAGCCTCGGGCAGTGGTGGTGCACACCTTTGATTTCATCACTCCAGAGGCAGAAGCAGACAGATCTGAGCTAAAGGCCAGTCTGGTCTACAGAACAAGTTCCAGGATGGCCAGATACACAGAGAAAGCTTGTCTCAAAATAAATAAATAAAGTCTCTTAGAAACAGATATCTCTATGAGTTGAAGGCCAGCCTACTCTACAGAGTGAGTTCCAGGACAGCCAGGGCTACACAGAGAAACCCTGTCTCAAAAAAGAAAGAAAGGAATGAAGAAAGGAAGGAAGGAAGGAAGGAAGGAAGGAAGGAAGGAAGGAAGGAAGGAAGGAAGGAAGGAAGGAAAAAGAAAAAAGA